TGCAGCATAGTATTCCATTGTGTGAATATACCACAGCTTCTCTATCCATTCATTTGTTGATGGGCACTTAGGTTGTTTCCAACTCCTTGCTATTGTAGACAAAGTCGCGATAAACATGGGTGTGCAAGAAATTCTTATGCAAGCATTCAGATTTTTATACTATACTACAAATAATTTCTTAAAAGTAGAAAAGAGTCTGTAAATGCTCATTAAAATTATTTTTTTTAAAAAGTAGAAAAGAGTGATAGAAGGAAAATCTGTAAAAGTTACTTAAATTTAAAAATAGGTAATGGACTTGAATAGACATTTCAAAGACGATTCTGTAAATGGCCAATAAGCAAAGGAAAAAATACTCATCACAGTTGTTCTTGTTTTTTTGTTGAGTACCATCAAGTCAGAACTGACCCATAGCTGACCCTCCAGCAGGTTTTCAGAGGCAATGTATTGCATAGGAGATTGCCTGTTTTTCTCCTGTGAAACAGCTGTAGATTTGAACCATGTGCCTTCAGGTTGTCAGCACAACTCCTTACCACTAAGCCACCAGAACTCCCTGGTAATGGATTTGAATAGCTATTTTTCAAAGAAGATTATACAAATGGCCAATAATCACATGGGATAAAAAATGCTTAACACATTTTTCCTTAGGGATTTACAAATCAAAACCACATTAAGATACCACTTCACATCTGTTAGAATGACTATTATCCAAAAACTTGGTGAAATATCAGTATTGAGAATTTGGGAAAATGGTTTAGTGGGAAGGGGTTGTGATGCCAGCTCACAGACACAGTTTGAATCCACCAGCAGTTTCTTGGTAGAATGATGGGCAGGCTCCTCTCATGTGACTTACAGCCTATGAAAATCTACTGGAGGGTCAGCATGACTCGATGGTACATAACAACCATAACAATCCATTGTCGAGGAGCTTCTAGAATGGTGCACCTCTATGGAAGACAGTTTGATTAGTCTCAAAAAGTTGAACGTAGAATTACCATGTTTTTGTTGTTTCGTGTGTGTCAAGGCGAGAACTACTCATAGCGACCCTATAAACAACAGATCTGAACCCTAGCCTATTCTGAACCACCTTCATCATCTCTGACATACTGAAGCTCATTGCTGTAGTCACTGTTAGTCCATCTCATTGAAGGTTTTCCTCTCTTTCGGTGACCCCCCCACCTTTCCAAGCATGATGTCCTTTTTCCAAGTGCTAGTTTCTCCTAGCAAAAAGCCTGAAGTATGTCAAACAAAGCTGCACCATCCTTGCCTCTAAGGAGCATTCTGGCTGCACTTTTTCCAAGATATGTTTGTTCTTTTTAGCAATCCATAGGATGGATACTCAGTACTCTTCTCTAACACAACTCAAAGGCCTCAATTCTTCTCTCATCCTTATTCATTGTGTAGCTCCCAGACATATAGCAGGTGCTTGAAAACATCATACATGGCCTGAATCAGGTGTACCTTAGTCATATTGACTCAGCCGTCACTCCTAGAAATATTCCTAAAAGAACTGAAAGCAAATACTAAGCGATAGTCATACTCCAGTGTTCTCATGGGTCTATACAATGAGATAATAGAGAATTGGAGATCTAACATGCTATGGTATAGATAAGCCATAGTAAGATGGTTCAAAGTAAGATAAGCCAAACAAAAAAGGGGAAATATTGTATGATCTTACGTACATAAAATACCAAGAAAAGGCATATGTCTAGAGACAGAATAGACGATGGTTTCTAGCAGCTAGGGACTGGGAAGAAGAGAGGAGTACAGGCTTACTGTTTGGGATAACAGTATTTTAGAAATAAATGGTAGTGATGGTTGGACAATACTGTGAATATTTAAAAGAGAGAGCCTGGAGATTCTAACCAATTACAAGTGGTTCTTACCAATCACTTAAGGATCCTCACTCTAAATAGTAAAAAAAAATCCAAAAGTAATTATGATTCAATTCACAATCTGTGTACTGGCTACAAGTTTGATGATTTTAAGGAATTATTACTTTTTAGGCATGTTCAGTTGTGGTTATGGTTAACAAAGGGTCCTTATTTTTTTCAAAATTCATTAAAAATGTTTGTATTTTCAAATTCAATATGTTGATGTAAAATGAAGAAAACATTCTGACTATATAATAATATGATAATTATAAAAATATAAAGGTAGAAATTTTTCAAATACATGCACACACTCACATACACAGGTATAAAGTACATATCTTGCCTCTTCCCCCAATAAATCCAGAGTCTTTAGGTTTTGAATGTGGCTTAGCATCAGGATCTTTTATTCAGTTTATTAGGTCTGATAGGTAATTGATTGGGCAAGGCTGAAAACCGTTGCTGTGTGCCATTTCAGTAGGTTAATGCGATTGATCTCTATACTCTTACACATCTGTCAAGATCTTAGTGGCCTTGAGTTTAATGTATTGATATATTTTCCATTTTTCTTCAGTCCTGTTGCAAAGCATATGAATATATGGGGTATGTTATGGAGAAAGAACAAGCATATTCAGATGCTGCCTTAAACTATGAGATGGCATGGAAATACGGCAATCAGACAAATCCAGCTATAGGTGAGTTTAGCAAACTAAACATTTTCATAAAAAACTTGAATCTTATATCTAAAACTTTTTTCCTCGTTTCTTTTTAAAACTTTATTTCACAGAAAGATTGCATGTAGAGCGTCAATCATTTAAATACTGGTTTTTAGGAAACTTAAGCAAATTTACAGTTTCACCTCCCAATGCTTTCATTTCATTGTCTTTGGTTTTTATAGATGATTTTATCAGTACTTTTAGGTTTTTGTGAGTAAGCATTTCTTCAAGGCCTTCAGTTATTTCATTTCTTCCTTGAGGTTGTTAAATGCATCCAACCCTCCCAGCCTACCTGGCCAAATTAATAAGGCATTTCGCTTTTTCTTCTTTTTCATTGCAATTTGACTGAAAGTTTAAAGAGCAAATTTGTTTTCTCTTCAACAGTTTATGCACAATTGCAATTCCCTGTGTGTAGCAACACTCCTCCCATTTCCTTCCACTGTGCTCTGGTTTCATTCATCCATCTTTTCTTTTTTTCCTTCACTATACTTTCCTTCTGAACTTTATCCCTGGCCATATTCAGCCCCTTTGAACCCTTCATATTCTTCTTCCACAGGATTCAGTTGTGGTGATTTTAGGCTTCACTGTTTTCACTGTGAAAGACACCATGAACTAAGATCCATGTTTCTCCCTTCACTCTTGTTTTTGGGTACAGACTGTTTACATATAGGGTTGTTGTTTTTGGTATGGGGTGTTTGTTTCTTTTTTCTTTCTCTCTCTCTCTTATTCCCTCCCCATTCAATATATGTTTGAAAGTTCTTTTCTTCCTCTCTCAAAATTTTTGAACTGTATTTTCTATCATGATTCTTCCACTTTTAAACTTTGTGATTCTGATCCATTGTTTAAACAGAAAAAAGCATCACTGATAATATTTGCATAGTACTCTTAAAATCTTTAAAAATAATTTCAGAACAGGTATTTTATTTATCTTTTCAAATTGTAATTCAAGGGAAGAGTCCTTATATCCACTTTATAAATGAGGAGATTGAAATTGACAAATTATTTACCTGAGGTCTCCGTGGTTAAGTAAGAAGCCAGAAACAAAAACTAAATCCAGGGTTTTTTATTCTAGTTCCCCTGTCAACTATATTTAAATAACACTTCATTTGTTTTCCTTTTAAAATGTCACAACTGTATTAATCTACTTTAAGAATTCTGTGATGATGACATTGAGTTTCCATCTCTAAAATTTATCCTTTTTTCATCTTTGATTATATATATTTTTCTGTTGTATGTGTTTGTTCTATTTCTATGCATAAGCATATATAAAGCAAAAACTGTAAATTTTAGATAATTCTTTACATTTTATGGTGACCACCCATTATAACCATTAACTAGTAGTTATTTTCAAACATTTGTTTCAAATTCTAAAAGCTTGTTTTGGTAAAGAGTGTAGCTTTCCAGAAGTTCTCTTTTTCATATTTCTAAGCTACAGGGAGACGTATTTAATTGTTAATTAATATATAATTAATTGTATGTTACTTTATATTGTGTGATAGAGTGTTTGTGGAGCACACTGATGCTGATGTTAGTTTACTTTTGAGATTGCAATGCGGTTTCTTACCACTAGTCCACCAGGATTCCCTTGTTAGTTTGCTTTTGTGGAGGATAGTCATTTAATAAAATTTTAGGACTTAAAAAATTGTCAGTGTTTGAGATACAACAATTTCCTCTCAATTGTTATAGTAATAATTCTTCCTAATAACTGATAGTGAAATTTCTGGTGACTAATCCACCACTGTTTCTGATCTGTTCTGCCCTTTTACCATGTGCTTTTGGTTCTTTTCGTTTCATATCCTTGTACTCCCTGGCTTTTAATCTTAGCTTTGAAATTAAGCATTTACTTCTGTAATCATTTAATTAACAGCTTTCTCCTGCTAGATCGTAAATCCATAACTGTAATAGCCAGTATGTCTACCATGTTAAGTTCTGAGCAAGTTTTGCTGCACGATTGAATGACTGTGTTATCCTTTACTCCCTGTGATGAGTTTTTACTATACTCTGAAATAAATGAGATGCACAGTGGGATTCAGCACGCTTGTGCAATGGCAGTATTGTGATCCACCAGTATGTCCATGGCTGTCCTTTGTTCCATTTTATTTTCTACTTGTTTTATTTATGCCAGTCCATCTTCGGTTGTGATATCTAGTCTATCTCAAACATAGTCACCAACCTCTCTTAAGAGTCCTCTAAATAAATAAGCAAACAAAGAAGGGGGGAAATGTTTTAGCAGTGTGCTCTATAAATTATGTTTTATTGTTGGGATTTTTTTTTAAATGTTTCTTAACAGGATACAAACTGGCATTTAACTACTTAAAAGGGAAAAAATATGTGGATGCAATTGATGTATGTCACCAGGTAAATACTTAAATTTCTATTTCTTAAAAATTTTCCCATGCACAATTTTCTACATTTAGTTACTCTTAAAATGAACTGTGCCTGTGGTAGGCAGACTATAAATGCATTATTTATACATAGAAGATGTAATATCTCAGATTAATAATTTAGCAGATACATCCTAGAGATTTTCTATTTTGAAGGTTTAGTTGATGATAATATTTAATTGTTTTTGTTTACCGTCGAGTCAGAATCAACCCTCTGTCAGGTTTTCAGAGGCATTTAATCATATGGGAGGATACTGCCCATCCTTCTCCCACAGAGCAGCTCATAGGGCATGTTTTTAATTTGGACTCACATAATGACATTTTACATGTATTTCAAGAAAAAGCTAGGATGAGAAGCATAAATGGAACTTAATTGTTGAGTCAAAAAATATTTAAAGGGTATGTATATTCTTCATATCATTATGTCATTCTGAGCAGGAGTTCTTGTGATTATATCTAACTTTTGTTCTTAAAGAATTCAGATTTATAAATTACAGATTAAAAATATTTCTGTCATTTAGAAGTCAAGTACACCTCTTGATCTCCTTCTAAACTGGCAAATATTTGCAATTACAGGGGGAGTTTTTTTAAAGCATTATTTCACTGATATGAGGCATTATGCTAAATGTTGTGCAGAAGCTCCAAGGTTGTATACAAGTTATATAAAATCCATTATCCCATATAGCTGTTGCTGTTATTAGGTGTCATCGAGTTGGGTACAACCCACAGCAACCCTGTGAACAGATCGGCACCCTATCCTATCCTGTGCCATCCTCTTCTCTAACACACTTGAGCCCATTGCAGCTCTCACCTTGTCAGTCCATCTCATAATTAGCATTCTAGTAAAAGCTTTTCCATAGTGATTGCCAATGACATATGGGTTTCTTTATATTCCTCATTAAGGTTAGGGTGATAGATTAATGTAAGATTAGTATGATTCTGTATGTTAGAATTTTTATTGTTAGACATTTTAGTAACAAGTATGTCTTGGAGAAAGTACAGCCAGAGTGCTCTTTGGATGCAAAGATGATAAAGCTTTGTCTCACATGGACATCATGCTAGGAAGAGTGGAGGGTCAGTGAAAGAGAAGACCCTCAACCAGATGGATTGACACAGTGACTGCCGCAGTGAGCTCCTGTGTATCAGAAAGTGTGAGGAGGCTACAGAATAGGAAAGGATTCACATCTGTTGTTCATGAAGTCAACAATGACTTGTACCTGACTCAAAAGCACCTACCAACATCAGAATCATGTTCGAAACATGTTAAAGATCATTACTTTTTAGATTAATGATTTGAAATGTTAAGAGAATTTTAGACTTTTTGTTTTATTTCACTCTTTTTTAAAATGAGCTTCTTCCCATTCTGAATTCAGTAAACCTGGAAATGTATGTATTTCAGAATTATCACAGGTAAATCTAATGTGTGCTGTGTTTGTTAAGACTTGCTCTCTAATTGTTTATTAAATATAATTCAAATAAATTATTACAGTATTTTCTATTCTTGGCACTTTTTTTTGCAACTGGTATATTAAAGAAGTATAATGTTTGTTGTATTTCCCCATGTTTATGCCTATTTTATTGCAATGTCTAATTACTATTAATATTTAGGCAGTCTCTAGCTTATGAATGAGAGTCATTCCTAAACTTAAATTCATGTTAAGTTTAATTTGTACATTTTTAGTTTTTAACAGTTTCCTTTAATTAGTATATAAATCACAACAGTTAAGTATGGTTCATATTTCAAATGAGTTGGTCAAATTATCTGTAGAAAAACCCATCTACCGTCCACTTGATTCCAACTCAAAGGGTCCCTAGACCACAGACTAGAACTGCCCCAGAGATTTCCCAAGATGAGAACATTTACAGAAGCAGATTGCTGCTGCCTTCTCCTGAAAAGAAGCTTCTGGGTTCAGACCAATAGCACCTAGTTAGCAACCAAACACAAAACTGAAATTTTAAAATATAGTAGGCTTTATATGAGTTCAAACCTAACTATAGATTGTACATAAGTCAGATGTTTATAACCCAGGGACTGCCTTTGTGAGTGATTTCCCAGTACATACCAGCTTTGAAGTGGTGGTGTAGTTGTCATAGCAGTAGTGCAATCACATCTCTACTGTCAAGCTCATATGTAGTAGGTCTTCTAGCTTTGTAGGCTTAGTAATGACGAGTTCTCATTTTCAGCTTTGTTTATTAATTTATTTTTGACGTTGCAGGTTCTAAAGACACATCCAGCTTATCCCAAAATCAGAAAGGATATACTCGATAAGGCCCGTGCATCTCTAAGACCTTGAAGGTTACCTTAATTTGTTGCTTAAACAAGAAATGAGAAGGGTCTGACTGTCTGACTTTTAACTCCCAGTTGAAAAGAAGTTTGAGTGCTGTAAGAAACCATGCTATGTTTCTCCAGCAGAGGTTGCTGTTGTACGTAAGGACAGAAGCTCAATGAGGGCTTGTCTATTTGACTAACTCTCTTTTAATTAGGTACAGATTTGTCATCTCCAGGGTAAATATTATAATTCATTGTACAAATAACATTTTGTTAAAACTTAGTTAAATATAGTCCTATATATAGTCCTATATCTTTTACTAGCTGTTTTTTTCCAGGAATATATTTTAAATGTTACTGTTCTTTGTTAAATTTTTGTAATGCTTTAATCTTATTTTCAAAGATTTGAGCAAATCTTGTAAATAATTTATAAAAAATGAAACATTTTAATAAAGATTTTTTTTAATTTATGGCTGTGTTTCTCTTAGAATTCAAAAGACATGCTTCTTTGAAAAATCTGCATAAACTGTTCCTACAGGGCTTTGGAGAAAATGTGGCTTTCGTGGAAAATTTTTCTCTTTCTATGATTGTAAGTTTATTTTATTTTCCCCTTTGTTGATCCCATTCATTTGCTCTCAATGACAGTATTCTAAATAATCTACTTAAATAGTAAACCCTTATGGCAATATTTATTCTTACCCCAAAAGGTTGAGTCTCCAGTTTAATTACACGCACTGTATCTCCTGGATGGGAAGAGGGTGGTCAGCAAAGATAACTAAAAACACCACGAGAAGCAGCTGTTTACCCTCTCATGCGCAATAGACCTGCCTTAGCACCTTTCATCCTTTCTATACTAAAGTTAATTTCATCTTAATGAGTAGCCTTATTTTAAATCTTACTGTGGTCTACATTTTCTGAGTTGACTACAAAAACATCTAAAACCAGTTTCAATTTTATTTCTGTTTGCAATAAACAAGCTGTATTTTTAAGAGTTACTTGATGTTTTTTAAAATTGTCTTGTGATTTTTCCTCCTGACCTACATTCTCTTTTTTCCAGTCACTTCTCCCAATTCTCCAGAAGTTTTTAATTCCAGTTATATGTTATAAAATTTTAATGACTCTCCTTTTTCACTTATGGCATTTCACAAAAATGTTTAATAATACCATACCATTATACCATACCATTTTGGGATAGTTTCTTATCTGCTGAAGTACTTTCCCAGCTCTTACTGTATTTGATCTTCATAACCCGGTAATACAAATTAGCGCTGTAACAAACTATCTTTTCTTTAATTCAAAGGGAGGAATATCTTTTAGCATGGATGGACACTGGTAAGGATTCTTTTACCAGAATCCTGCAGCAGTTTCACTTGCATCATGGAAATTGGACCAAGAAGGGAGAGAATCTATTCTCTCAGTGTAAGATTTCCAAACACACAGATTTCCTATTCATAAAGTCTGGGTTTGAGTTGTTTTTTAAGCATCTATTTACTTTGCACTTATTAGATGCTATTATAGGGATTTGTCTTCGTACTTTACCCACAATCCAGATAAATACCATTTTCAGATGAGAAAATGCAATTCTGGCTTAATGGTGTGCCTACAGCCACATACATACTAAGTGTCACAAGTTGGATTTCAGGTTGGCCCGGCTGACCTCAGAGCCTGTGCCCTACTTCCTACTTTAAGATCCCTTCCAGAGTCTGTCTCTAGGAGGAAAAAAATTGGCTAGCATATAAAACTAGGAAATGTATTTTTCTGAAATTCTCTTAACAGTTAAGTACTGAAGAACAAATTTAAGTGAGCAGATGGAATGGTTTTTACAAATGTAGAAGTTATCAAAGCAGAGTCTGTATGAGCCGTGCGGTGAAGTAGTTCAGAACATGGATTTGAAGTCAGAGTGGCTCGATTAGAATCTTGTCACTACTACTTACTAAATGTTTCATCTTTGTCATGACACACAGGTTCTCTGAGTCTCAGTTTTCTCATTCATAAGGAAGCATATAAAGATAATACATGCCTTAGGTTATTAAACAAAAGGACAATAATGACCCTCACAGAGGCCCTTTAAAAATAGTGCTGTTATCGTTGTTGTGGCTCTGTGCCATCAATTCAACTACAACCCATAGATATGTCTTGAACAATAGCTCTGAATCCTTCCCTTGCTTGAGCCAGTCCCACCATCTCTGACACACCTGCCCCATTGCCACAGTAACTAATGTCAATCCATCTCATTCAGGGTCTTCCTTTCCTGTGCTGACCCTACTACACCCTTCCAAAAATGATGTCTTTCTTCAAGGACTGGTCCCTCCTGGCAACATGTTTCAAAAATCCTGCCCCCAAGGAGCAATCTAATTTTACCCTCCCCAGGACATACCTGTTTGTTCTCTTGGAAGTCCATGGTATATTCAATTCCAGCACCACAACTCAAAGACATCGATTCTTCTACATCCATAGTCCATTCTCACAGTTACTGTATCAATCTGTCTTGTTGGTGATCTTCCTAATATCTTTCCTTGAAACAATAGGGAGCTCTGGTGGCCTAGTGGCAAGAAGCTGCACTACAATCCCAAAGGTACATGGTTTGAATCCACCAGATGCTCTGCTGAAGAAGGAGGGACAATCTCCTCCTGTACCAGTCAGATCTGATTTGACGGTACTCACACAAAAAAATAAAATTTTAAAAAATGTTAAAAAAAATACATTAAAGATGGTGCGTCTACAAATGCACCAGCAGCTGCTCAGGAGAAAGATGGACAGTCTCTTCCCAGTAAATTTACAGCCTTAGAAACCTGATAGAGAGAAGCCCTGTGAAATTGGGGTTTTGAGTGTGGGATCAGAGTGACCACTACAATTCTAAATTTTAGATAGGAAACTCAGAAGGTAGTTAGCTTATGTTAATGGAGGAGGGACAATTTAAGAGAAGAGAGTGAGAATGATTGTTTTAAGCATCCTATATTGTCTTGTTTCTTCAGTGCCTCCAGAAGATCTGTCCATGTAGCTGTTGTTGTTATGTCCCATCAAGTCAGAGCTGGCCCATAGCTGTCATCAGAGACAGTTAATTGCACGGAAGGAGGTTGCCCATCCTCCCGCTGAGCAGCTGGTGGATTCAAACTGTGCCTTCAGGATTGCAGTGCAGCTTCTTGCCACTAGGACACCTTGGCAAGACAAGCCAATTTCCTTGTTGAATGTTGAGACTGGATAATCCCCTTGTGGGATGGTATTTAGCCATTTGCCTTGTGGATACGCTAGCACACCCTTTCATATATTCTCACTCATCTACATATAGCATCCTTGCACCTTAATACAATAATCACTTCAGCATAAAACAAATAATATTTTGGCTAGGAAAGACAATTTCAAATGATAAACCTCAGATACCTAGACTTATATAGCTAGCAGAAAGTAATCAATGTCACTGAACAGTACATGTAGAATGATTTGATTACATGTACATAATGTGAAAATTATGTTAAATGAAATAATTGTAGGAGGATTAGTCCATCACAGCTCTAATCAGATGTTCCTCTATGTTGTAACCTCTAATATCTTTTATCTTTTTTATCTAATATCTTTTGTGTTTTTTTATAAAAGATAAAAGCAGAGAAAAACCAGCCCAAGAGAACCCAAGAAATAACCATCTGTTATGGACTGAGTCTTTTGGGGCCTGAGATCCGCCAAAACAAAACTCTGACAAAAGGGAAGGTCAGAATACATGGATATATCCAGGATATACTAGGTCTGCAGATGCTGGATTAAACAAGGACTTGTTTCATGACCGATAGAGAAAGCCTTTTCCCAGAGTCGTATCCTGAACTTGAATGTCTAGCATCCTAAACTGTAATATAGGAAGCTCGAGTGACCCAGTGAGTAAACGGTTGTGCATGGTTCATATCCAACAGGTGCCTCTCAGGACAGTCTCTGACCATGGGATTAACATACAGCTTTACAGCCTTTGAAAACTAGCTGGAGGGTCAGCTGATGTGACAGTTCTGATTCTGTGACAATGAATGAGTGAAACTGTAAGAGAATCTCTTTGGTGAAGCCATCTACTCATGGTATCTCTATTATAGCAACACTTTATAACTAAGATACTGTCCTACTGACAAAAATTTAATGGTCATCTACTAAATTTAAATAAGTAAAACCTGTTGAACTAATAAATTACAAAACATGTGCTTGTGCAGTTGAGAGGGAAGGAATAGTGCTGGAATCCAGCACTTCTTGCTAGACTATAGCTAGAAGAAGAATTTGAGGGATAATTATGTGAGTGTGCATGGTTTTTTATTTTAAATGAAGAGTTGCTTGAGCATCTTGGTATATTTACTGGATAAAGCCAGTAGACGCTGAAGGTATAAGAAAAATATGGGCAAAAGGAGGAGGAATGTGTATGAAAAAGGCAGTCTCCAGGGAATTCTTAGAAGGGTTAGAAATAGGAGGGAGGGGTGTATGATTTTCGCAAAAGAAGTGAAAAACAAGAGCAGAAATAAATTCCACATATAAATGTGGCAACAGGACTCCTCATGGTAAATAACTTCAAAAGTTTGCTAATAAACAAATGGGCTTTGACCTTAGGGCAACTCCTTCCTATGCATGGAAATTTTGTCGCCTGTTTTTCTTGGACGCTGCTGTATTTTTACTTATTTCCAGGTTCCTGGTTGTGGTTGCTGGAATTCAGCCTGCCAGATTAAAAGGGGGTTACTGTAACATAATAAATAATAGTTATGAGCAAAAAAATGCTACCCACATTCTAATACTCTTCTTAAGAACCAGATGTTTTTCAGAAAATGCTTCGCTCTTCAATATGCCTTACCATGCACATAAATGAATCTGGCACAGTGCCCATGAAAGCAATTTGATCCCATAAATGAGGAAAGCTGGGTAATGAGCAGGTTCTAAATGTCTTCCTTCTGAGGGGCAGAAACTTAGGCTCTAGAGCGAGCCTTGAAAAGCCTGGCTGTTTTCAAATAGGATATATGCTATATTTATTTTCCTTCAAATTATTTTGGCAAAGTAAAAGAGATT